AACAGAAACACCTATTTCATCTCTTAAAAAGCCTGCACCATCTCCACTTCCTCCATCACCTAAAAAAGACTACACCATATCCCATTGCTTCTGTCATTTCTTATGACAAATATACACCTCTTTTTCAGTCTTATATATGTGCTTATGATATAGAGACTGAGCCAAAACATTCAAACAAGCCATGAAATCAGAAAAATGGACAAAGGCAGCTAATGAAGAGTTACATGCTCTTGAACTTAACAAGACATGGGTTGTTGAATCATTACCTCCAGGCAAGAATGTGGTGGGTTGTAAATGGGTGTTTACCATTACATATAACCCTGATGGCACGGTGGAGCGATACAAAGCACGCTTGGTAGCACAGGGATTCACTCAACAAGAGGGAATTGATTTTCTTGATACTTTTTCCCATGTTGCTAAGCTAACAAGTGTGAAGTTTTTGCTTGGTCTTGCTGCAATTAAAGGTTGGAGTTTAACTCAGATAGACGTATCAAATGCATTTCTCCATGGTGAATTGGACGAAGAGATTTTTATGAGTTTACCTCAGGGATATACTCCACCTCAGAATACTGGTTTGCCTCCTAATCCAGTCTGTCGACTATTGAAATCTCTTTATGGTTTAAAACAAGCTTCACGTCAATGGTATAAGAGATTGTCTTCAGTTCTATTAGGTGCAAACTATATACACTCACCTGCTAACAATACTATTTTTTCAAAGCTTCTCCTGGTTCATTTGTTGCTATCTTGGTTTATGTGGATGATCTTATGATAGCCATTGATAATGATGTATCAGTGGAACAAATAAAGCATTGTTGAGATCTGAATTCAAGATTAAGGATTTAGGTCCTGCAAGATTCTTCCTAGGCTTGGAAATATCAAGATCATCAAAAGGAATATCGGTGTGCCAGAGGAAGTATGCTCAGAATTTGCTAGAAGATGCTGGCTTACTTGGTTGTAAACCAAGTTCTATTCCCATGGATCCTACTTTACACTTAACTAAGGATATGGGAGTACCATTGTCAAATCCAACTTCATATCGTGAGCTCATTGGAAGTTACTGTATCTTACAATAACATGGCTAGACACTACCTTTGCAGTTCATCAGTTGAGCCAGTTTATCTCTGCTCCTTCTGATATCCATCTTCAAGCTGCACATAAGGTACTCAGGTACATTAAATCAAGCCCAGGGCAAGGATTGATGTACTCTGTTGACTCAGAACTCTGTTTAAATGCATTTTCGGATGCTGATTGGGCTGCTTGTAAAGACACTAGAAGATCAGTTTCAGGGTTTTGTGTTTATATTGGTTCTTCTTTGATTTCATAGAAGTCAAAGAAACAGGCCGTTGCTAGTCGCAATAGCACTGAGTCCGAGTATAGGAGTATGGCTCAAGCCACTTGTGAGATCATTTGGCTGCAACAGTTGCTTAAGGATCTACACATCACTGTAAGTTGTCTTGCAAAGCTATTCTGTGACAATAAATTGGCATTGCATATCTCTATGAACCCAGTTTTCCACGAGAGAACTAAACATATAGAAGTAGATTGTCACACGGTCAGAGATCAGATAAAAGCAGGAAACTTGAAGGCTCTTCACGTTCCAACAGAGAACCAGCATGCAGACATCTTGACTAAAGCTATGTACTTGGGTCCTTTCCATCATTTGCTTCAACAGATGTCTTTGTCAAGTCTTTACCTTCCAAACCAGACAATTTCGAAGATAAAGACTTGAGAGGGGCGTATTACAATGATATGGACCGGTTTATTGCTGGTTAACTCTGGTTATCTACATCTCGGTTTAATGTTAATACTATATAAGTTGAGTTCATCATTAGTTTACACTTAAGCTTTGTAACAACATTTTATCATAATGAAACTTTGTTAAGTTTCCGTTAAGCTCTTCTTCGTTCTTGTGATTCCGATGATCGGAATTTAATACTTAGGCCTTAGACCACTTAAGGAGATAAAAAAAGTGAATGATCGAAAGGCTTTATTTATTTATCTATCAAATGGATAGTGTGGTTTGTAATTTCGCTCTCGTATAAAGTTTTAATTAATGAAAAAGCAAAAATAACAACGTATTTTTTCTTTTGAATATAATTTAACATTAGATTTAAAAAAAAAAAAGCAAAAATAACTGTTTTAGAAAGAAGACTACAACAAGGTGATCATTATCACCATAATTTTCTTTGTTCTTGTACCGAAATACCAGTAGCAAATACTATAAACATAGAGAGAAACATCTTACTGGTATTAAAGTGACATGTTCATACTCTTCAATTTAATGTATTTTATTGTTGATGATAACCCTTTTTTAGGCCACTATAATAAACAATAGTGACAAAAAAATTGTAGAAAACTTGACAAATTATGATCACAAGAGTCTTCAATGACATTTGATATATCCTTTTTCCGACTGTAGAAGTCTCTCTCCCTCTTCATTCATTTTTGGTGTAACACCCGGTTTGAGGAAATATAGTAGTGCATGCAGAAAGGTTTAAGAGAATTGATTTAACCATCTATGTCACCAAAGTGAATTTATCTTTTTGGTCAAACGTCTTGAGATAACTCCACAGTTAAGCGTGCTTACACTAAAGTAATTTAAGGATGGGTGATCTTCCGGGAAGTGATTGTCGGAACTGTGTGAGTGAGGCCAAAACATGGGGAAAGATAATGCGGTGATTTGTAGGATCGGTAAACAAGCCTCTAAAGCTTTCCAGACGTAGCGGACCGGTCTTCGGAAGATGGTGGGCCCACGGGTTGAGAGAAGATGTGGGGCCAATTAAGGATGGCAGTCGGGGCGTTACAAGTGGTATCAGACCCAAACCCAGGTGAAGTGGAGTCAAGAGGGCTCACACCATCAGAAGTGATGGTCTTGGTGCGCAACGAGGACGTTGCGATCTGTTAGTGGGGTTAATTATAACACCCAGTTTGAGAAAATATGATGGTGCATGCAAAGAGGTTTAAGAGAATAAATTTGGTCACCTATGTCACCAAAATGCACTTATCTTTTCGGTCAAACATCCTGAGAGAACTCAACAGTTAAGCGTGCTTGAGCTGGAATAATTTCAGGATAGGTGACCTTTCGGAAAGTGATTGTCGGAATTGTGTAAGTGAGCCAAAACACGGAGAATGATCATGTGGTGATTTGTAGGGTCGGTAAACAAGTCTTCAAAGCCTCCCGAATGTAGCGGACCGTCCGTCGGAAGATGAGGGACCCACAGACCAAAAGAGGACGTGGGTCCCATTAAAAATGGCGGTCGGGGCCTTACATTTGGAAGAAATCTTTTTTTGGACAGTAGAATTCCCAATGGACCGTAGAGTGGTATATACAACCTTCAAGATGAACTGCTTTATATCTTTTTGATATAACTACCTCACATTCATAATGAATGCGTTTCTAGCTAATTTCTACTTTAAAATATCAGTTCTTCTATTTTCAATATTATATAGGATTGATTTAATAGACAAAAAAAAGCATGATCATTGGTATAGATTTTATATTTTGTAGATTTCACGCCATGAAAGGGGTTCAAAATTCCAAAAAAAATACTTTGTCTCAAGAAAAACAAACATATTTTCTTATTTTTAAAACACATATCAGTACTTATACTATCGCCTAGAAGTTAAGACTTTTGACAGCATTTGAAAATATCATCAAACCCAATTCACAATTGGAGAACTTTTAAATATTGTAATTTTTTCAAATAACCAAAAATAAAATCTAAATCTAAATCAAATAACATTTTTGGAATAATGTTATTACCAAACTTCAAAATTTGTTTTTAATAGGTTTTTGCTTGTAGCACAAAGCATCATCTTGTAATGAATATGTACTAGGTAGTCTACCCGCACTATGTACGGAGTGAAATGATTATTAAGTAAATACATTGTAGTTTTAGTTACAAAATTTATTATATTATCATTCAAAATCTGAGATTTGTATGTGCTAACAAACATGTAATATATATTTTTATTCTATTCGATTCAGCGATTTTCGTATCAAATTTCATTTTATCTGTAAAATTTATTGAAAATGATCAATTTTTTCTAACTTAAATAATAAACAATCATATACATCTTTGTGAAGAGTTTATGAAGATGCGTAATCCATCATAGACCCAAATATTTTGTAATTGATTGACAAATAATTATTCACTCAATATAAATATAAATATAAATAAAGATAAAATATAAATAGAAATTTTGTTATTATTAATAGGAAAATGTTAGATTATGCAATTTGCATTTTTCTTTTTGATGACTAGGAGGTTCTGAGCCCGTAGGCCCGTACATCCCCCCAGGGCGAGGTCCAAACCATGTAATATAACTCCCCTTTGGAGAGCAGACCCCTCCCAACGTGAATCGAACCCGTGACCTCCAAGGTCTCTACATTATCGGTAACCAAGGGGCTTAACCACTAGGCCAATTTGCATTTTAATTACTGATCGTGTTTCTTTCTATTGTAATTGTATTGTAATGTCGATATAAATATGTACAATTTGCGTTTATATTAGTATAATACAGATTCATGTCTTTGTTAATATAGACTTCTTATGTTTATAATATAAGGTTATCGTATATTTAGTTTGCAAGATTAATTGGTTAATTATTTGCTTTTTTTTTTTAGTTGGAATTTTTTTTTTATTTATTTATGTGAGATATGTTAATATAAGAAAATGGCAAAATCTGTAAATATTCTAGTAAAGATTTTTCTAATATTTAAATGGATTAAGAATCTATATGAGAACGACACCTGAGCATGATATTTTCGTTAATAACAAGTAATGATAAGGGGTTTTTAGACTGTTTCACAATTAATATATAAGGGATGTGCAATTATTAATATTCAACGTCATTCTTAATAGTCAAAGTTAATGGGATTGTTTAGACATTATTCACGTAAACAAAGAAATAAATTGAAATTTAATTATATTTAGAAAAAAATAAAATAAATTGACTCTTGAATTTGCGGTATATAGAAATTTAAAAAATGGAAAATCAAGATAATTTCTAGTCAAAATTATATTGAAAATTTAAAATAACAATAATAGAAAAATCAATATTAAAATAGGCGATGGAGAAGGCGACGGCGTTAGGGTTGTGACCCGACCATGCGTTTGATGTCTCAGGGAACGGCGGATCTGGTGTCTCTAGTGGATATCGAAGGTCCTTGGTGGTGGTTTAACGGGAGTTTTGTTGGTGTATTAACAGGAGATTTGTTGGTGTCTCTGGTGGAAATTGAAGGCCCTTGTTGGTGTATAAATGGGATATTAGTTCTCAGGGTTTGTGGGTTTGATCCGGTTTCGATTGGCAAAAGTTTTGCTTGGGTTTCGATTGGAAATGGGGAAATCAGTCGGTGGAATTGGGTTTGTTTTGGTCTTGCTGGGGAACGAGGTTTTGGTCGGATCTGGGTGATTCAAGTCAGAATCGGGGTCGGAGAATTAGAGATGGGATTTGATGGCAGGTTTTGGTGGTTTCGTTGGGATTTGATGGTGGGTTTTGATGGCAAGTTTTGTTGGTTTCTTTGGGATGAACTATATTTCAGGGCAAATAAGAGGTGGGTCTCCATATACGGAGGTGAATGTCTAAGGAGTGAGGTCATGGTGTTTGGAAATAGAAGGGAAGAAGCTTGGGATCGGAGAGGGGTCGACGAGAGAAGCAACAGTCAGGGTTTTGTCGGAGTCTATAGAGGGTATCAAATGGGTGTGATTGGGGAAGAGCTCACGGTGGTAGAGTTATACATATCTTATCTGATTTCAATGGGTACAGCTCAAAGGAGTAGAAGAATTCTACGATATCAGTTTCTATGGACAGGAGTGGAGAGTCAGGTGTTAAGACCAGAGGCAAATAAGTGCATATATGAGGTAATGAGAGAATTCTTAAAGGAAGTTTTAGTGTGGGTCTTGATACCGGCACTAAGATGGTCTCTGTGGTGGCGTTATTTCTGGGTTAATTTGGAATCAAGAGTGGTACTAAGGAGATGTAAATCTCAGTTTGACTTCTGGCAGATTATGGAGGGAAATAATTTTTCTCTTTTCAATATTAGCAAATGGTTTATGGGAAGGAAGAAGTTGGTAGCAGGTGCAAAAAGAAGTATGCAGCTATACTTTCTTTTCATCTACAGGAGGGGTGTCAGAAAATTTAGATGGTGGATGGATGCACAGGTCTGGAAGATCCTTTGGAGTTTTACTCCAGTCTGGTTACGATCAGTTTACTTTGATTTGAGAGGACAGTGGTTGATTCGTGGCTGGTCAATATTATGGTTCAGAAAGGTTTACTTCGGAGGGGTTGTTATAATTGGTATATGGGCTGTGGAGAGACTGATAAAGGCTTTTGCTGGATGGCTTAATATGCAGAGGCCCATGAGGAGAGAGAATATGTGGCGACTTTTAGAAAGGATATTGCGTGGGGAAGCCTTGGTATTGTTATGGCAAGAGGAGATAACAAATTTTCAAATTGCCATAAACAGAAAATCTTGGAGCTCAAGGGTTGAGATATTAGAGAATATTCTAATATTGAATTGGAGTTATTGTCTTCGGTATTTTTGGCTAGGAGAATCAGCAGATTTTAGGAAAGCTCAGAGGTATAAACAATTAAGCCGTATAGGGTTAATAGCTCATATTCTCTCAGCTTTTTCTTGGTTTCTATACGTGAAGAGAAGTTTGCTGAAGAGAGCTGTTGGGTTGAAGTCTGATTTCACAAGAGAAACAATGTCACAGAGCAGTCTGGTTGGGAAGAGCGGGTCAGTCCAGAAGGGTGAGGATCAGACGGCTAAGAAGAGGATCAAAATTCCACATTTTGATAACTCCGCTCTCATAGCGGGTTACTCAAAGACAATCATCGGGAGGTGTTTTAATCCACAGAAACAGGAGATGAAATCTTTGTTACACATGATGCCACGTATCTGGGGATTGGAAGGGAAAGTTGCTGGTGCAGATTTAGGTTTGGGGAAGTTTCAGTTTGATTTCGATGAAGAGGAGGACATTGCTGCGGTGCTTAAGATGGAACCATTCCATTTTGATAACTGGATGGTTGCGATGGTAAGATGGGCGCCCTCGGTAGATCCAGATTATCCGGCTACGTTGAAGTTTTGGGTCAGAGTTATGGACGTTCCCCTTCAGTTTTGGGCTGAACCTACTTTCAGATATATTGGCAAGGGGCTGGGGCACGTGGATGATAAAGAGGAAGCTGTGGATCTGCAGAAAGGAAGAGTGCAGGTTACGCTTAATGGTTTACAACCTCTGTGTTTTGAAACCGAGATTGAGTTCTCGAATGGTGAAGCGACTTTGGTTAAGCTACGGTATGAGCGGTTACATGGCTATTGTGAGTTGTGCTTCAGTTTGTGCCACGAGTCATCTTATTGTATGCAGTCTAGGGAAAAGACTCAGCCAAGGTACAAGGAACCGCTAGGGGAGAAGGAAGAGGACAGAAAATCACTCAGTTACCGTGGTGCGGTCATTTCAGACCATAAGAAAGGGTCTGGTCATGAAGGAAAACTTAAAGGAATCTTCCAAGAGAATTCTCAAGGAGAGAAGAGATACAAGGAGGACCAGAGGTTCAACAATGGTTATCAACATGGTGGAAAGAAGCCTAGAGCTGATGGCTATTACGGAGAAGGGTCTTCTCGGTACGGGAGAAATCAGAGCCATGTTCAATATAATGATAACCGAGAAAGGAAGGTGTATGCACGGGTTGAAAAGAGACAGTCCGGGATACAAAATGAGGTCGCTGGGAGTGTAGAAGCTCAGGTTAACTTACCTCCTACACAGGTTCGTAAGTCTCTGTTTCAAGGTAGCGGTGAGGAGGGTAGAGAGGGTAAGGCAGCAGTAAATACCGCTGACTCGGGAAAGGTGACTGGTAACGGCTTAAATGCTGCAGAGAACCCAGCAGTGGGGCTGGAAGAGAAATCCACACACGAGGTGGTCACAGCTGAAGAACGGGCTATATCACAAAAGCCAAATACTGAGAATGCTATAGCTATGTCTACGGAAACTCAAGTAAGTGGCCCAACGGCTTTGGTAAATTCTGGGCAGATTGGTGAGGATGTGTTGATGGCAGATAAAGCGTTAGAGGAAGATGATTTATTGGAGGATCGTTCGGACTCGTCAGAACAGGCGGATGAGGGGGTAGTAGAGGCCGATGAGGATCAAATGGTGGATGCTGAGGAAGGCAAGGATCAGATTGGGTTAGCTGAATCTTCAGAGGTGTCGCTAGCTCATGAGGGAGTGATGGATACGGGAAAAAAAGTAAGAACATGTGGTGTACTAAAAGGCGTCAGTTCTAAGAAACGAAATGCTCAGATTCTGCTTTCTCCCAAAAGACGGGCAACAGGTAAAAGCAAGGACCACGCAGGGGATGGTACAAACCGCGATGCAGGCAAAGGAAAGCCAGGCGGAGCGAAACCACCAAAACCAAAATCGGATAAATGAAGATTTTAAGTTGGAATTGTCAAGGTTTAGGAAACAAGGCAACGATTGGGTATCTTCGGGATTTATGGAAACAACACCGGCCGGACTTTTTATTTCTTTCGGAAACAAAGCAATCTTCTTTTTTTATGGAAAAATTTGTAGGGCATTTTGGTTATAAAAATTTTAAAACAGTGGATCCTATTGGTTGTAGTGGCGGTTTAGCCCTTTATTATAATAATAATTATCATGTTTCAATTTTATTTGAGAGTAATCGGCTTATTGATACTGAAGTTACTATTAAAGGGAAAATAGTTCATCTTACTTTTGTTTATGGAGAACCGGTAGCTAATAAACGAGAACAAGTTTGGGAGCGAATTACGCGTATCGGGTTGACTCGGAATACACCATGGTTTTTAATAGGCGATTTTAATGAGTTAAAAGGGAATCATGAGAAAAGAGGCGGTAAATTAAGACATGCATCATCGTTTATACCCTTTAATTTAATGATTAGAGATTGCGGTTTACTTGAATTTCCGTATATCGGGGATTTCTTGTCATGGCGGGGGTGGAGAGATAAGAAACCGATTCGGTGTCGGTTAGACAGAGCTTTAGCTAACGAAGACTGGCATGATTTATTTAGTAATTCTTTTATTGAATATCTACCAATGGTCGCCTCGGATCATAAACCAGTGGTGGCGACAATTGCGGATAAGGTACCTCGAGGGAAGAAAAATTTCCGTTTTGATAAAAGATGGATTGGAAAAGAGGGTTTGCTAGAGACAATCTCTGACGGTTGGCATTTTGATGGGAATTCGGGAGAAGGAAATTTTGTAGAAAAAGTGACAAATTGCAGACGTGCGATCTCGAAATGGAGGAAAAATTTAACTCCTTATGGGCGAAAAACTATTGAAGACCTTAAAGCAGAGTTAGAAGTAGCACAAAATGATGATAGTCAATCGCCGGAGGTGATTAAAGCATTAACTATACGGTTGAGAGAGGCTTACCGCGAGGAGGAAATATATTGGTATCAAAAAAGTCGGGGTTTGTGGATGCGTGTTGGGGATCATAATTCTAAATATTTTCATGCACTGACAAAACAACGTCGAGCCCGGAACAGGATTATCGGACTCCATGATGAAAACGGAATATGGTCGGATGAGGATAAAAATATCCAGCATATAGCGGTTTCCTATTTTGAAAATCTTTTCACATCAACGAATCCCCAAGAATTTGAGGAGGCGTTAAAAGAGGTTAAAACTACAATCACGGACCAAGTAAATGAATTTTTAACGGCTCCAACTACCGAGAAGGAAGTGAGGGCTGCTCTTTTTATGATGCATCCGGAGAAGGCACCGGGTCCAGATGGAATGACGGCATTGTTCTTCCAGAAGGCCTGGAATACGGTCAAAGTGGACCTAGTACAATTGGTAAATTCTTTCCTCCAAGAAGGGAGTTTCGATAAACGGTTAAATTTGACGAATATTTGTCTTATCCCGAAAACGGAAAGACCAACAAGAATGACGGAGTTGAGACCTATAAGTCTCTGTAATGTGGGATACAAGATTATATCGAAGTTACTTTGTCAAAGGCTTAAGACGGTGCTCCCAAAATTAATATCAGAGACTCAATCGGCTTTTGTTGAAGGGCGATTGATCTCTGATAACATTCTTATTGCGCAAGAGATGTTCCATGCTCTTCGTACGAATCCGTCATGCAAAGGGAAGTTTATGGCCATTAAAACAGATATGAGCAAGGCTTATGTTCGGATAGAATGGGATTTCATAGAGAATTTGTTGCGAAAAATGGGTTTCTGTGAAAAGTGGATAATGTGGATGATGTGGTGTATAAAATCGGTCCAATACAGGGTGCTTCTCAACGGACAGCCTAGAGGACTGATTGTACCTGAGCGTGGTTTACGGCAAGGCGATCCATTATCGCCATATTTATTTATCCTCTGTACAGAAGTGCTGATTGCTAATATTAGGAGAGCGGAGGAGGATAAGGTAATAACTGGCATCAAGGTGGCAACACCCAGTCCAGCGGTGTCTCATTTGCTTTTCGCAGATGACAGTTTATTCTTTTGTAAGGCAAATAAAGAGCAGAGTGGGGCGATCTTAGGAATCCTTAGGCAATATGAGATGGTGTCGGGCCAACAGATTAATTTCGACAAATCATCTCTTCAGTTTGGTCACACAGTTGTGAATGCGGTACAAGCGGAAGTGCAACATGTCTTAGGAATTACTAAGATTGGTGGCATGGGTTCATATCTTGGGTTACCGGAAAGCATGGGAGGATCAAAAACAAAAATATTCTCTTTTCTGAGAGATAGACTACAAAATAGGGTAAATGGATGGTCGGCTAAGTTTTTATCGAAGGGGGGAAAAGAGGTGATGATTAAATCGGTGGCTGCTGCTTTACCGACTTACGTTATGTCCTGTTTTCGGCTCCCTAAAACAATCACCTCAAAACTAACAAGTGCAATAGCTAAATTTTGGTGGAGTTCAAATGGTCAAACAGGAGGGTTGCATTGGCTAGCTTGGGATAAGATGTGTCATAGCAAAGCTAATGGAGGGATCGGATTCCGGAATGTCGACGACTTTAATACTGCTTTATTAGCGAAACAATTATGGAGGTTAATCTCGGTGCCAGATTCGCTCTTTGCGAAGGTTTTTAAAGGACGGTATTATAGAAAGTCGGATCCTATGGATCCAATTAAATCATACTCTCCCTCCTATGGATGGAGAAGTATTGTATCAGCTAGATCTCTGGTTAATAAAGGACTTATTAAAAGAGTTGGTTCTGGGGACTCCATCTCAGTATGGGAGGACCCATGGCTTCCAGCTCAATTCCCGAGACCAGCAAAAAGTAATGGTTCTTCTTCGGAACCATTATTACGAGTTAAAAATCTTATCGATACGCGAACAAACTCCTGGAATTTAGATAAGCTAAAAGCTATTGTCACTCCGGAGGACGTTCATTTGATCAATGCTATACCCCTGGGAAAATTATCAAATCCAGATACTTTGGGATGGCATTTTACTAAATCGGGTCAATATACGGTTAAATCGGGATATCACACGGCACGTCTTAACATAGGGACGGACTCTATGTTGCAAGAATTTGGACCAGACATTAAACCGCTACAAGCGTTTACTTGGAAAATAAAATGTCCGCCAAAAATACGACATTTTATGTGGCAAGCCTTAACTGGATGTGTTTCGGTTACCTCAAATCTGCGCAGGAGAGGTATTAATTGCGATACTAGATGTGATCGATGTGGGGCTTCAGAAGAGTCAATTAACCATGCTCTCTTTGAATGTCCACCTGCGCGACAGACTTGGGCTTTATCACAGATCCCCACAGCACCAGATATTTTCCCATCAGGATCACTATATGCAAATATGGATTATTTATTTTGGAGAACACCCTCAGAGGTCTATACATCGATGTTTCCGTGGATTATTTGGTATTTGTGGAAAGCCAGAAATAATAAGGTGTTTAATAATATGGACCAAAGCCCAATTGATATATTAAGATTGGCAGAAAATGAAGAGCAAGCCTGGCAATTGGCTCAGGTAGAGATCTCGGATGACAACCTAGAAACGGTGGCAACAATTACTCAATCTCATTGTAGAGTGGAACATATCGGGCATAATCGATCAGGTTATCGATGTTTCTTAGATGGTTCTTGGAAAGAAAGTGATTGTTTTTCAGGATTAGGATGGTTTTGTTCGTATCCAAACGAAGAAACGCACGACATGGGAGCTGCAAATACTCGAAGAAGCTTGACCTCACTCCACACAGAGGTTGAAGCACTAATCTGGGCGATGAGATGTATGATCGGCCAAGATAAAAGAGAAGTAGCTTTCCTTACAGACTGCTCCGATTTGGTGAAGATGGTGTCTTCCCCACACGAGTGGCCAGCGTTCGCGACCTACTTGGAGGCGATTCAGAGCGACAAGGAGGAGTTTGATTTTTTCTCTTTATCGTTAATTTCTAGAAATTTGAATGTGAAGGCGGATAAATTGGCACGAAATGTTCGTACCCTACCGCAACTATCTACTTATGTAAACAACATTCCTCCACATTGGCTCATTTGAGCCAATCCAATAAAGCTGTTGACAAAAAAAAAAAAAAAAAAAAAAAAAATCAATATTAAAAGCATTTATTAGGAAAGGAAATGAAATACAAGTGTATTAATTTGGCGTAGACTATAAACCATATTGTTTGACTGAGTAAACAATACTAAAATAATAGCAGTAGTTAGCTTAGGATTTACTCAAATTTATTATATAAGTTGATCCATGAAGATGATAACATAGTAGGTATCCCTTCATAACTATATATATAAACACATCTACTAGAGAAAAACAAAACACTTAGTCATCTCTCCAACTATTCAACGAGCAAATGACTTTCAAAAATAAGAAGAAGGGTTTAGTGATGAAAGTCAACCCTTAAGACTTTCTTTACCAAACCCTTCTTTCTTTTTTTGTAAGTCAGCGATCTCGCAATCATGTCTGATATATAAAACTTTATGCCATCGAGTGTAAGTTCTCGTATGATTTGAGTTGTGGTGTAATATGTGGTTTCTGTATTTCACATGTTACCCGATTCATACCCATTTCAAAAACAAAATCTGTAATTTTTGAATATGCGCGTAAGATTATATCGGATATCAACTTTTTGGAATATTGTTCTCAAGCGAATTATTATTCAATTTTTAAATACACATTTTAACATATTCCTATCAATTTTGCTTATTCTAGAAATGTATCCCTTAATTTATAAGTTCTTTTGCTATGTTTTTGGATATGTGTACTAGTTATATTGTTGAATTTAAGGGTCACTTATGGATCAAGTAAAGATATTTAGTCACGGATAATAGTTCAGGTCTTACAACTAGATTGTTCTTATTATTTTTTTTTTTTTGTATGAATGTAAAATTATATTCACCAAAAAAAGACTGTTTTACAATAACTGCAACGTAGTGAGCAAAAATATTTTGAGCAACATTTAGAGGTTTTAAAAAAAAAAATGGACCG